CACAATAAGTTTAAATTACCACATAAGTAAGTAAAAGTTCACTATCAATAGAAAATGTCAAAATTAAAAGAAGACTCATCAAAGTTATTCTTATTTTTTGAAAATAAAGTAAAAGTTGAGAGACCTTGTAACCTTCTCCAAGTTACATCTTACAGGAGAAAATAGGGCTTTAAATACAAAAAACATAATAGCATTAATAACACCAGATTTATGCATAAATGCACCTTGCATACATGATCCTTGTCTAATGTGAATCGAGTGCTAGGTCGTGACAGACCCTGGCTATCCTTTCATTCACCAGAGAAGATAGATTTCTGTTTTTGGACATCACTGCTATTTTCCCTGCAGGAAACTCAGCTGTTGATTAGTGATCTCACATCTTGCATGCATAAAAACAAAGTAGGCTGAAGTGTTTCCTTTAGCAAATATCTGTTTCCAAACTTAAAAAACAATAACTTCAAAGAAATGTGCATCACCACACGTATATTTATTCATACACTTATCATGTCGATATATTTCAATGTTGCATATCCTCACGTATACTAGTAACTTAAGAAAGAGTGCATCTGGCACATGTGGTACCATAATGTGTTTCCATCTGTTTGCCTTTAAACTCAACCTATTTTTCTTGGTATCAAGAGTTAAATAATCATCAGCAGAATTCACCCAAACTAAGACTTTTAAACTTGGACAAATAATCATGCTGTATATATATAACAATATTCAGAAAACATAGCATATCTGCATACTGTGGTACAGGATGGTGCCATTTGTTTTATACCTTCTCCTTAGTTAATATGTAAAAGAGTTGAAAACTCTGAAGTTAAATACATAAGACCATGTTGAATGGCACTCTGTAAAAAGATCATGGCTTGTGGACTTTAACCCCCACCCATGCATATAGGGTTAATGAATTTGTGTAATGTCTGTATACGCATTTTACCCTACATTGCTGATTTAGTATCAGTTCGTGGTAGAGGAGAGTAACTATCAGATACAATATATAGGGTGTCCCAGAAGTCTGAACCCATAGGAAAAATAGACATAATATTCTTAAAGTTAAACACATTTCTAATGTCAGTTGTACATATTTCAGGAGAGAAAATACCCTGATGGCACGGTATACCAAGAATGGATATGTGTATGGCTGGTAATGGTATGCAATTTAAATAATAAATAAATAAAGAATAAATTGTGTATTTATCCCTATGGGTCCAGACTTCTGGGACATTCCATACAGGAACACTGAAAAAAACAACCGAAGGTATGCATTTTTTATGTTCTAGAGGTTTTACTAGTGCAACATGCATATCTATACAATGGATAAAAGTATTTTTATCTTTCAAATGAACATCATCTTGCACTCTGGCTTGTCAGAGTCCGAGTTAGACTGACATCATTAATACACAGATATATCTGGAGTCTAAATACCTTTATAATACATCTGATATTTTGTGTACAGCAGACATGTATATTTTACTAAAAGCTTGCCACATTTTATGAAGATACATGTAGTAAGTTCAGATTATAGTAAATAATCTTTCTCCTATTTGGAATCGGTCAAATTGATTACACATTCAGTTAATGGGTGTTGAAGAACAAAAATGAATCAATTACACTAAGAACACAACTACCAAGTAGCATATGAATGAAAAAAAAAGGTTTGATGTGAATGTTAAGACTAAGATATGAAGTAGATTGTGATTACTGACATGTAGAGCATGATTTGAAGATACAATGCACCTGATATTTCCTTTAATGCTTGTGAGGGAATGTTTTTCATTTTGACACTGAAGTATTCAACAGGTATGGATTTTCCTTGAGGGAAAATACAGTTTGATCTGGTGTTTTCAATAGCAGTAGTTAATATTTTGTTTGGATTAAATCAAAACCTTCATGATTGGGTCAAATTATTAGTAGAAAGTGAGGTACAAAAACAGTAGCTTACATATCAGGCCAAATGTCAATTTGTTGTACCCAGTTTATTTGGTTAGGATTGAATATATTCAATCATGCAGACTGAAATATTTTGTAGATGCACAATTTTACTGAATATTTTCTTAACAATGTTTCAGTATAGCCAGAGATAGAAAATAATACCCACACATTGCTGCTTTCAAGTCATTCTTGGGCTATATTAAACTTGTATCTGAAGAGTCTGAATGGAGTGAGATTTAGGTGTTAATGGATTCCCATAGTCAGATGTTGAAGCAAGCACTTGTATAGTGGTTAGTGTTTTTTCAGATATTAGTATAGGAACATTCTCACCCTCCAATTTTTTCCTACTGTACCAAGCAGTTCTGTTCACATAACCACACAGAAATAAAGGGAATGTGCCTGGGTTACAGAACAGCTGGTCTTTACTATTTTTCTTTACCCTTTTGGCTATCTTGTTCTCACAGCTTGCCTGTCATGTTGCTGGAATTCATTCCTTTTGCTTCCTCTTTGACAACACGGAAAATCTAGAATCCTATCCTGCCATTTTTAAAGGAAATGGGGCCAGCTTCACCATCGATTCAGCGGACAATAGAGCATAATTTATCTACCACAAACCTATGGTGACTATACCCACAATGGAGCCCAACCCTGGACAGGTCATCATTCAGACATCTGGAACAGAATGCAGAATCATAAGATGTTTTACTGGAAAATGTTCTGTCGAGAAATGGCACTGACACTCAATGTGCTACATCTCTGGTTAGACCCTCAATCCTGAGACCCAGATTGCAGGTCTGAAGATAAGTCATCAAAATCCCAAGAATGTCAGGTTCCATCAGTACCAGTGTCTATGACAATGAACACAAAATATTCAGCATCCACATTGTCATCCTTGGCAAGTGTTAACAAATGGGCTTCAATACCTTCTGCTGCAGATCTTTACCCAGGATCAGTGGGCACTGAAGCCAGAAATCTTGATGACTCCCCCAAAAGCCATCACCAACAATCCAATGTTTCAGTAGATCCTGATTCTGAAGTGACCTTGCCAAGCTCAAGACTTGGTCATTCTTCAATAGTGAGGCTTTGAGCAGAGCTGACATAGATGCAAAAGATATCAGCAAAATCCAGGGAGATTATTTGCCAGATTGTTGCAGCCAAAAGAAACCAAACTCTGTACTGTAGGATCTACCGAAGGGAATCAAGTAAAGATGGGAGAGTTTAAACTTCAGATAACTATGTCTATATTAATCACAAAGCTACATAATGGATTACCTGTGGTGTGCCCACCAAGAGTACTGAAACCCAATTTTTAGTATTTTAAGCACTCA